ATACTTTCATATAAATATTGAATTGAACGAAAGAAAAATATTTTCTGAAAAACTACCTACTTTATATGAAATTTGAATTAACACAAAAATCAAATACCTATTCCTTTTCAGTTTGTACTCCAAACAATCGTTATGGAATTGAAACTGATGTAATTTATAGGAAAGCTATACAATATTGTATATGATAGAGGATGACAGGACTCTATGTATGTTAGTTAAATTTTATGTCTTTCATATGCAATATCGTGTAGCTTTCCTATGAATGATATCTGATTCAATTCCTCAAGTAATGATTGGAGTACAAACTGAATAAGAACAGGTGATTTTTGTATAATTCAATGTTCATATAAAAGTAGTTGTTTTGAGAAGGCTTTTTTCAATTTGTATCTGAAAGCAATTTTCATGCAGGCGGGTTGGCTGTCCTTGTTCATCTTTCACTGCCTGAACCACTATGCATGCTGTTTTCGGCGAGTGCATTGGCTTGGGATGTGGGGGTTGAACAAACCGGCCATCGGATGCCTGCTTCCACGTAGCCCCGCTGGATACGAGAATGACAGAATCACTTGTGGTTCTGTTATTCCCTAACTAAATGGCATCCCAACGATGGCTTAATCCCAAGGTGTGTGTATCCGTGTTGAGAGGATGAATGACACTGAGCCTGTCAGCTGTCACTACGGAACCTTCGAGATACCGGGCGCCCTCTCGTCGAAACATCACGGTAATGCGGAGGCTCTGCTGTGATTAACCTTATTTCCTTAGCTACTCGTGGGACTTTTATGGACAGAGTCTACAGAGTTTACAGAGGAGATGGATGTCGAGCTTACGACTCCAACTGACTTAGCTGTAAATTTAGATCAGGAACGAGAGCTTCTCAACTCTCCAACTCCTCATCCAATAAGTGAACTTAAAAACAAGGTTTGGTGGTGCAGCCAGGAAACGATTGAGTCGTCTCCTCAAGAGTGGGGTACCTTATGGAACCGCCTTGCACCAAACACTCAGGTGGAGGAACAAACCCCCCATGAATAGGTTAGCAAACGTTTGCGCTCAAGTGATGATTCACCAAAACCAGAAGCAAAAAAGCCCTGCAAGGGCGAATCTAAGGCATTGTCAGGTGTAGCTGACGTGCAGAAACCCTTGAATGGGAAGATTGTCGCGGGTATCAAAGTGGGAATCTTGCACCTTGACTATCCGACTACCTCATTAACGATGAAACAGCAGAGCATATACTTTGTTCCTTCCCCATTGATGGGGACCGAATCAAGTTTTTAGAGTTCATCTGACCTGAAAGACCACTCACCATAAAAACTAATAGGATTCGTCAAGATGTTGGGTTTATTTGTGAATAGCTGTGAGCCACAATAAACCCTTGCGGGTTGCGATTTAGGGTC